CTCCCCTCTCTCTGTTTTCACTCCCTTACCCTGATCACGTTTTCCTTCACACCTGTTTCTTAACCCCAGATTACCACCAGCTGCACCTGATTAGTTTCTCCCTATTTAGTCCCTGCTCTTCGTGCACTCCCCTGCCAGTTCTTTCCAGCATTTTTCAGACTCGCTAGTTACCCATCGTTCCTTTGACTCTATGTTAGTTTTGTCTTGCCTCCTTCTCTCCAGCTGCTTGGCTTTATCCCTCCTAGCCTTGGGTGCTCCTTCGGACCACGAACCTCCTACACTCTTCTCCACCACAACCTGCAGGTTGATGCACAGTTCTCTACTTACCGTATGTTTGCATTTCTGTTATCTTCAGTACTATCCTACTAGACCAGCCCAGGAGTGTATCCCAGTGTCCGCAGCCCGGTCATCTTCACCTCATATCAATCACTGACTGTGTACATCTCCGAAGCTCGACACCCGGTCCCTGCATTTCTCCACTGTGCATTTCTTGTCATTGATAATCACTGTAAATAAGCTACCACTGTCTGCACCGAAGTCAGCCACCTGGGTCCGTCTAAATTTTGTGACTCGCTCACTTCTGTGTTCGAGCCAACCTAACACGAAGATGTGGTGGAGAGCAGCTGCAACACAGTGGCCTTCGGGTCCCTGTGATGAAAAAGGATTTTGCAACCAAAATATGAGAAATTTTGTAGTATAGTGTTGGTGCTCTCTCACATCTTAACATCTAACATAACATAATATGTTATGATATTCAGCTGGAGCCAAACTGAGTTTGTGTTTTTCTGCGAAAAGTGGCAAATCTCAAGAATAAAGCATAATTTTGAGACTATGAGGATGACTTCATAAGTAAAAGCTGAGTCATTCAAGGGAGTAGTGTCAAAATAAACTCAGCAAAGTAGCAGGTCTAAAACACTGTGCCTTAGCAATGCAGAGGTGTTGTTTGATTGAGTGCTGATTACATCATAATATTCACTTGACTTTGCAAGTGCAGTACTTTGGAAAAGAGCGTTCCTTAAACAGTGGGAAATTTACGCATCGAAGAAATGGTAGCACTGAAATGCACCAAATCCAGTGTGACTGTGCACAAAAGTGTGCATATCCCACATCTGGTGATTGTTGAAAGACACAGCAGTGGAAAGACAGATGAAAAAAAGGTTTTGCTGCTTGAGCCCAACGCATGACATCCTTAAAGGAAAAGTCACAGCAACTGCTTTTACAAAGTGTTTTGCCAGTAGAGCTGTTGTCATGAAGACAATAATAATCACCGTAGCCACAGAGGATACCCCAGAAATGTTTTGTTGTTCTGTTGCATTTCTATTAAAAATGTTGGGAGAGATGCTGTAACACAAGATTAATGGGCTCAGGTTAGCTTATTAAAAGCAAGTAAACAAAATAATGAGTTATATTGAGTCAGTCCAATGTATGTAGATGTATGTGTAGTTCTGTTTTGTCTTGTTTTGTTTTTGTAGAAACCTGGTGTCATTTCCACAAGATTTAATCAAGTAAACCATAGTGGGTGGTCTTGTGCAATGTGACTGCGCTCAGGCACTGAAAAAAATTAAAGGCTGCAGGTTTGTAATCATTAATCAAGATACTCTAAATTTTGACTTAAACAGTGAGTGGTGATGGCAGAACTCACACACTGAATCATCATCATTTGCAGTACAATTAGTCCGCACATACTTATCTTCATAAGGCTGAATGGTGTTAATGTTAACATAAACAATGATGCTTATTTTCTGAAGTAGCCGAATGACATACTGCTGCAAAAACTTCAAGCAGTCTGTTACATGCATAAAAGGCATATAAGAAATGGCTAGTGATACATATGTGAATGTGGTTAACAGGGCTTAAGTGGAGATGCCGTTATGTCAATGTGGCTAAAACAAAGGTGTGTTGATCAGACAATCTCTCTCAGTTGACTGATGACAAACTCCAGCCGGCCCCAGTGCAAGCATGATCCCATGCCCCGCCAACAGCAGGCTACAAGGGAGCGTTCCCAGAGCTGCAAGCACCGTGTACTGCTCTGGTAAATTGATGTATCCTCAGCATCATGTCGCATGTTCCTACATCATTTCACCACACAGTGATGCATGACAGAAAGAAAAATGGCTCAGTAGTAGTAGTCGTAATAAACATGGATGCGTTTTCAGCATTTTTTACACAAACACACACATTATCACACTGATGTGATAATACATTTTATAGGGAAAAAGGTGAAATAATGACAAGTTCATGGTAAGAACTTTAAAACCTTCATAGTCAGTACTGGAATGGCCATTTAGGTGTAGTTTTGTTCAAGCATGTCAGTTTAATTGTTATTAAACTTAGGTAAATCTACATGTCTGCACTAAAATACACAATAAAGAAAATCTGCATTTCTCTGAGGCTGTGCCATGGAAAAAAATTAAGAAGACGGTTATAAATAAATGTTCAAGCATATAAAACAACAAGGCTAAAACAAAGGTGTGTTGATCAGACAGATGAGATCTGGGGCCTGTTGCACAAAAGTAGGATTAAGACATCCAGGATAAATGGCTGAGCTAGGCTCAATGAATCCAAAACACGTGAGTCCAGGTTTAATTGGTTGCACAAAGACCAAGCCAGGATGAGCAGACACGGATTCATCAAGCCAGTTCACGGCTCACTCAAATAGACCCCGCCACCGATCACAGATTCACTGATTCACCATGGCAACTAGAGCGGCGTACTTTTCCCCGTCGGGGGCACAAATCCTCATGGAGGCATACGAGGAGGTCAAAGACATAATTAAGAAGAAAGGCAACACCGCCACAGTGATCAAACAAAGAGAAAAAGCGTGGCAAAGTATTTCAGACCGCCTGAAAGTAGTGCACAATTACAAACCCACCGCTCCACTAAAACATAACAATTACAATTTAAATTGTTAATTCACATCTCCAAAAACGTCAAGTGAGCCATGACATATGAGCTCCCATTGCGAGCGCACAGGACCAGTGACATCTTTAGTAGGTTATAATTTTTTGGCCCAAAATGGTGTGTTCCTTTCTGCTCTGACAATGGCGTGCCCATTCTTGCGAGATGTGGTGGATGAAGAAGCACTTGTGCTCAGAAGAGCCTTCAGGCGAGAGAGGGTCTTCAGGGACCGGTTGGACCCACTGGCCTTCCCTGATGACGACAGTGGTCGGCTGCTGAGGGACCAATATGTGTTGAATTATTTTAGTTAGTATATGTGCTTTCAATTGTGGCTAAATATGTCCTGCGGTGGCAGAGGAATTTAAGGTTTTTTGTGTTCATAACACAACAACCCGTGGGGTCCAAAATGATTATTCTTCAAAATCTTTAAAAGTTGTAATATATTTATATTCCAGGTATTCCTCATAAAACATGTTTGTGACATGAGGCCATTTGCATTTTTATTTATTTTTTCATTAATTTTAAGAAATTGCAGTTTTTGTATCACTACCCCACTCTTCCACAAGTGGGGTCAAAAATGACCCCAAGCAGTTCCTATGGAATCTATGAACCTTCTTAGCAACTCTGACTGTCCCACTTACACATCTGATGTCATCTCTCACATCTGATGCAACTTTGACTGTCAATACTGTCCCACTTACACATCTGATGTCAGCAGTCTCACCACCCAGGAGGTCATTTTTACACAGCAACATACTGTTTGTCAATTCGAAAAGTTGAAGATATTCGCCGTTTCTTGCACTTTGATGACAAGAGGACCAGAGCCTACCGACTGAAAACTGACCACATGGCAGCTTTCCGCTACATATGGGACCTGTTCCTGGTCAACTGCAGGCAGAAATTCATCCCCAGTGATTGTGTTACAGTGGATGAACAACTTGTGCCTTTCAGAGGGAGGACCCGGCTTCTGCAGTATATGCCGAGCAAGCCCGCCAAGTACGGCATAAAGATCTTCTGGGTTTGTGATGCACGCACCCCATATGCAATTGATGGGATCGTGTACCTAGGGAGACAACCAGGGGAAGACATCCAGAAGAATGGGGGAAAACATTGTCCGTCAGTTGTGCAGTGGATTCAGACACACAGGTCGCAACATCACCACTGACAACTTCTTCACTAGTGTGCCTCTTGCAGAGCATCTCCTGGAGAAGGGTTTGACTGAACTTTGTGACAGAACAAACCAGACATTCTTCCAGTCATGAAGGCTTCCAGGTCCAGAGAGGTCCACAGCACTGAATTTGGGTTCAATGGCAGCATGACCATGATCAGCTATGTGAGAAAAAAGGGAAAGGCTGTTCTGCTGCTTAGCACAATGCACCACAGCAAGATGGTGGATGAAAACAGCCCAAAGAAAAAACCAGAAGCGATCCTCTTCTACAACCAGACCAAAGGAGGAGTAGATACTATGGACCAGATGGTTGGCAACTACACCTGCAAACGCCAGACGCAGAGGTGGCCCATGGTGCTTTGGTACAACATGATTGATGTCGCCGCTCTGAATGCCTATTCATTTTTGAGGGCTCAGCACCCTGAATTTTACACAGGCATCATCGATGGACGACGACACTTCCTCACAGAGCTCTCAAAGGAGCTTGTGACACCTAACATGAAAAGTCGACTGGACGGTACCCCGACCCTACCAACCTACATCACTGAAGCAATGGGAAGGTATGGAGTGACAAAAACTGCTGCGATCCAGCA